GGCGAAATTTCTGCGCTAGCTGCTGCTTGCGGAAAATGTCGAAGAAATCGTCTCCAGTTAGAGTCGTGAAGGCGATAGCAAGGAGAACCTGGACGACATCGATCCAGCCAATCGAAGTACGGAGATACTAGCTGTTTCTGGGCCTCACGCAAAGGGAACACGCGCAGCAGAGCTCTTACGTTTGCAGCAAGTTTACGAGGAAAAAGGCTAGAAGCGCAGTGTGAAAACTGTTTTGAATTGAAGTCCTTGGTGATGAAGTGCTACTGAATACCAGGCGAATGAGCGAGCAGATCGAGAGGCCTCCAGGCCCTCCACTCGAGACTTTCCTCGCTGGACAGCTAGCTGCAAGGGATTGTACGGCGTGCCGAGATTTCACTTGCTGGTCAGCACCAAGCAGACACTGCAGCATACCAGCACACTATGCGCATGCTACGAACAATGGAACAGTTTGAAAGGCTGTGTTCTTGCTTGTTTTTGAATAGTTGTACTAGATTCACCCTTCAAAAGGTGCCATCTCAACTGGAGTTGGGAGGAGCAAACAAAATTCATGCAGAACTGTGCATGGCCACTACAGCCTGCAGCACCAATGGGCCACAACAAGCCTGCCCCCACATGCCTACCTTGTCATGTCACCTAAACAAAAATCATCCACGTCTCTTCCTTCACTCTGGTGGATCTCTCTTCATTTCTTTCCTGTGATAACAATTTTGTGTTTTTTTTGATTTTTTAACACAATACCCTGGTGTGTTTGAGATACTTTTAATACCACTGTGAGTCGACCCACACCTGTAATATTTTGTTTCCTGACCTCCCATGCCCAGTAGAAGCTGAAAATGGGAAAAGTCATTTTGTGAAATTCCATCCTAAGCCTGGTTTTCGCAGATTCTGGGCCATATGGGCCAATCGCGTTCATCCGTGCTGCTATAAGAATGGAATGGCGTTTTAGTGATATTTTTTTGCATACAAATCCCCATCTAGTAGGGCGCAGTCACCCAGTTTTGGTGGAAGTGGCGAGTTCGCTTGGGAATAAAGGAGGAAAGGAGCGTCTCAGCTTCCTCGGACCAAGACCATTCGACTCAGCACCCCGAATATTACAGCTGGCGAAAATTTTGTATTTTACGCTACACTTTCTTTAGGCGAGGCTGCACAAAGTACACATTTGCGGCATATTGGCTCATACACGTGGTTCCATGTACTCATATTGACAGGTGTGGAGCATAGAACACTTCCGTGCAGGCAAAGTACCCATAAGTTTCACAACTCACTCAAGTGCATGCAGCATACCCTATACTGTCACTTGCCACTTCTGTTTACTGCATGCCCTTGCTTCTAAGTCCACTTCAACCCTGTCACAGTCAAGCATACCAGCCAAGACAGCACATTTGGCTAGTTTTGGTCGCTGTATGTAGGCCAGATATGGCACTTGGTACACTAAAGGTCGCTCGCTGGTCACGCAACGCAGGTGGCCGCTGTTTCCAGTGCAGTATATATGCAGAACTGTCGGTGCGTGGGAAGCGGTCGTTGACACTTTAACTACCGTCAAATTTGTGTGTGCAGCCCACGCATCGCATTTACAATAGTGACTTGGGTCTCAAAAATATCACAACTTCCCTCACCATTAATTTTATGGATTTTCGAAATCTTGGGCTCTCTGGACAGCTGGGAGTATCCTCTTTTGATTCATTGTGCTCCGGATACGGCAGGCGCAACAGAGCACTCAGAACGATATTGCACACATGTCGACAATTTCTGTCAGATCAGAAGTCATACACGGAACTGGGCCTCCTACTGAACCCGGACAAAACGCAACTATTTTAATCGTCCATTGGAAGACAACCCCAGTTCCACCTACCTTCACTGTCATCTGTGGTAGCTTCCCAGTATCCTCTTCCCAGTGTGTCCGTTACCTTGGAGTGCTAGTCGACCAGCACCTTGCCTTCAAGGAGCAGGTCGGGAAAGTTGTTGCTGACGTCAACCGTAAGCTGGCCGCATTCCGCAGAATACGACATCACATCACCACCCAGGCACAACGTTCCTTTTACCTAAGCATTATCCAATCCACCATGGAGTACGCCAGCAACTGCTACATTCACACGATATCAGCAACCCTATACAACACACTCATTTGATGCTTCAAGCGTAGCCTCAGGACAACATTTGGCTACCCACCATGCCACCCAACTGCCACCATTTGTTACCGCCACAAAATCATTCCTGTCGCCATCCGTTATAACCTTAAATATTTTGCCTTGTCTATAAATGTGTGCAAGCCCTCAAGTTGCCGAGCTTTTTGTACTTAGATCAAATAGCAACCATACCAATGCCTTGACCAGGGGACAGTCCGCCCTGGCTTTAGCCCTGCCTAATGCTTCATCATGGTACAGTTTCTATGCTTTGCCCTACCTGGCTGCTGACAGGTGGAATTCGCTTCCAGCAGCATGCCGCCAGGCAGCCTCCTTTGCAATGTTCATCAGTACTCTTCGCAGCCTCTTTTGCAACACATAATGGCATGGTATGCAGCCACCGTTTTCTTTTTCTTTACTCTATTTCACGCACTTACGGCTATCTTCATTCAGCTCTATTTCACACACTTACCTAGGGTACCCTGTAAAAAGACTCACAGCCTGTGGGGATTGCCCTACTAAAATAATAAATACTACTACTACTACTACTACTACATACCCAACGCAGAACTGGGTTATGCTCGATTGAACATCTTGGTGCCTGTTGCGCATGGGCCACATCACAGGGAAATCCACACTCTGGCTGGATGTTTTGTCCACGCAGCTCACTCGCACCGGGCGTCGAAATAAATTTGAAGTATTTTCGCACTACGCACTTCAGCGCTCCATCAAACTTGATCGTATTGCTTTGATCGCAACACTGCAGGAAAGCACCGAGCCATAATATGTGAAATTCCAACGAGAGAGCTTGGAAGCTCAGGGCCCTATGCTATGCTTTTTTGCCTTGACGACCTAGCCAAAAAAGCATAGAGATGTTATAAATTCTCATAAATTTCTTTTTTTTTTTAAGACATAACCTGGGATTCGAACCCGCACTATCGCCCTGCGTGCGTCCCCCAATACACTTCGCATACATACTAATTCTTCCAAGTTGCTTCAGTTATGATCTTGCATTTGAAAGCCCTATTTGAATATGCATTGTGGCCAGCCATCTTTGATGGTCGGTACGGGACAGGCACGGTCGAGGGTAATACGACACCGTCTACCGCCTTGATGACCTAGGCAAAAAAAGGATAAGGATGTTATAAATTTTTCAATTCTCCTATTTTTCAGGCATAACCTGGGATTCGAACCCGCACTATCGCCCTACATGCAATCCCCTATACACTTCGCATTGATACTCATTCTTCCAAGTTGCTTCACGTTATGATCTAGCGTTTGAATATTGCGGCCAGCTGTATGTGGCCAGCTGTGTTGGATGGTACGGTACGGTACAGGACGGATACGGTATAGCGCCAGGCGTGACACAAACACACAAACAAATACCAAATTAAAGCTGTGTGGACCCTGGCTAGCGCCAGACGTTACTGAAGTAACGTCTTCTGCATAGCTACGGGAATAATGTTTCACTGATCTACGATAGAGTTAGGATAGTTTGTAGAGTGGTCTATTCAGCTGCAGTATGCACTTCATGAATATCATGAATATCATCGATATATCCACGACTTCAAGCAAGCACGGTAGTTAAAGGGTTAAGACCAGGTGGTCGCTAATGTGACGGTAATGTCAGAGGTTGCTAAACCCACGTTTAGAACCCTTTCAGCACGACGCTACCTGAGTGCACCCAGCGTCTACACCTGTAAAAGTCGCATTTTCCTATGAAAATACTAGCTGTTCAAGGATCAATAACTTTAACTTCCCTTGAACGAATTTTACGACCCTGAGCTTCCTGGAAAGGTCTTGAGACAAGGAACAAAAAGGTTTCAAACACTTGAGCATGGCCAAGACTAAAAAGGCTCAAATCCTCAGCTCTCATTTCGATCCCCTTGCTCGTATCGAGCTCAAATTCTTGTGAGGACTCCCGTGATGCACTACCATCATCTGAATCTGGTTTCCATGGCAGCAGGTAGGGCAAACATGATCCAATTTGGAACATACGTGTTCTGCAACGTGCGCAAAAATTTACTTGAATTTGCCATGTCGAGTCGCGTATCTCAATTACCGGTTGTCGCATCACTTCTGTCACAACGTTGACATGATGCTCAACGTCATGAGATTATTTGCAGTACACGTCATAGTTTGTGTTCTCTACCCCGGTTTTGTTTCCGCGTTCCCACACCGAAGCTGGGCCGCGAGTTTATTATTTCTACTGACTCACTCACCTCTTAGCTACGTCCTCCATGTTTTTTCCTGCCTCTTTTCTCTCTGCGCAAGCGCCTTGCGCATTAGTCGTCTTCTTTCAGTTCACAGCAAGAACAAGAATTATTTACCTCTTGTGCAGTGTCAGTCAAATTCAGTCAAATCAAGCTCTCCCGATCCCAAGAAACTGCCTGACGTGTGCACAACTTCGCCGATTGTTTCTATTGCAAGCTGAGAGTTTTCTCTTGCAGACACCGTAGAGTCTTGGCCTGTCTCATTATAGAAGCCATCTTGAATAGAAGGCTGATTTTCAGGATATACTGTTGGCACATAAGCCTGATTTTAGTGTTAACACACATAGAAATACCTGGTTTGAATAGAAGCCTGATGAGAATAGAAGCCTAGCCCTGACATCGGCTTCCACAGGAATGAGCCAGGCTTTAATACGCAACATTACGGTACATATTTCGATTTTAAGAATCGACCAAGGATGGACTGAGTTACTGAGTTTGAATGAGCCACTGGGGACTCCATACGGACCCCACGACTAAGGGATGCAGGTTCACTGTACAGCGTCGTACTAGTACAACGGGCATGGGACAAGCAACTTGTGTGCGTCGTACTAGTACGAAGCGGTGCTAGAAAGGTTAAGGAGGTATATGTAACTACATTCCTTACCGATTTGTGGGGATAAAGCATTCAACTGGATCGGTCGAAGTACGAATGCCTTTGAATCAAGATACATGTCCTTCGGAACTTTGAAGAATCCGTCTGTGCAGTTCAAAGAGCAGGCTGCTGTCTTGCTAGAGCAATTCACCATGTGTGTCTTGATAGCGGTTGCCTCTTCCGGTGTGAAGTAAATATCTCGCTTCCCCATTACATTCCTTTGGAATTTTAGGCGTTGAAACTTGTCATTGATTAAGACACATTTTGACATATTTGTTTGGACCTCTCTATGATCATTTTCAAACATCTTGCGAAACACTATAGAGGCTCTAACGCCACCGTTGTGATACAGCTTGACCTTGTAAATGTAATCTGATAGAGGGGAAAAGGAAAAATCACACGGAAAACATGTCAATGTGTATAGACAAGATGTATTATTTCCATAAAGATGTCCGCTTATTGAATGTTGGCTTTCTGGCTTCCTATACACGGACATTCACGTGTTAGGTGAGTGCACGCAGGACTATAATTATAATTATCGAGAGAAATGCCCATATGTGTACACACGCACAACCAATACACGTGTGCACATGAACTCACTTACCCACACACCCACGTGCCGTTACACACACATACATATCCACAATGTCTGTCTCTGTCTTTGTCTGTCTGTCTGTCTCTGTCTCTTCCTGTCTCCCTTTCTAGCCATCTATCCCTCTTCTCTCTATGTATCTGTGTCTCTGTCTTTCACTCTCTCTCTCTCTCTCTCTCTCTCTCTCTCTCTCTCTCTCTCTCTCTCTCTCTCTCTCTCTCTCTCTCTCTCTCTCTCTCTCTCTCTCTCTCTCTCTCTCTCTCTCTCTCTCTCTCTCTCTCTCTCTCTCTGTGTGTGTCTTTGTCTCTCCCTCTCCCCCTCCGTCTCTCTCACCCTCTCCCTCTCCCTCTCCCCTCTCTCCTCTCTCCCCTCTCCCCTCTCTCAACACTCTGCAGCTTATTGAAGACACGCAGCACAAGGAAGAAAGTTCAATTTCTAAGTTCAATTTCTCTGCCGCAGAATAGCTGATTGGTACTTTCTCCAACGGCTCGTCTGTAATAATTGTCCGTAATATTGTACTCCGAGCTGCCCTATGTTGACTCCACTGTACAGTAGGTTCCATAAGGCAGGCTTCCTGCATCTTCCGTGTCTCAATCATAAGTGTCCCCAGTTCGGAGAAATTTTGATTACTGGATGATGAGACGTTCGACTTGAAAGTAATATACCTACTTCTGTAGCACTAGCATGATCTAGCATGATCACACTGCGCATGCTCTTGTTCAAGGCTTTTTCCCCAATCTACTTGTGCTAGCTGGATGCTTGTGTGCATGGGGATCAGGATACAACAAAAGTTCAATTTCTAAGTTCAATTTCTCTGCCGCAGAATAGCTGATTGGTACTTTCTCCAACGGCTCGTCTGTAATAATTGTCCGTAATATTGTACTCCGAGCTGCCCTATGTTGACTCCACTGTACAGTAGGTTCCATAAGGCAGGCTTCCTGCATCTTCCGTGTCTCAATCATAAGTGTCCCCAGTTCGGAGAAATTTTGATTACTGGATGATGAGACGTTCGACTTGAAGGTGATTTTCAAAGTTTCACTCCTTCTTTTACCTTCGACACTAGTGGCTACACTTTTCTTTGGAGTGTCACCAAAATTCAATGGCAGCTGGTCTTCGGCTTGCCTCTTTTAGACGCTTCGACGAACTCTAAGACAGCTCAAAAAGCATGAGCTGCGACGACAATACAGCACGCACGGCCACTATTCAGAAACTAGCATTTGAAACTACTTACTTTCGAAGTTTCCGCAGCGGCTCAACAAATGCATGCACCTCTTTCTCCGAAGCGAAGGCGTAGCTGTACATTCAGTGCAGATCTACTTTACCTTTCTAGATACAGGTGGAATCCTGATAATTCGAATATGGCTTAATTCGAACATACCGAACATACCGAATCATTCCTCTTGCAGTAAAATCAAAAAACTGCACGCAAAAAATTTCACTTTTGCATCAACTGTCGCACCGAAAAATGTTGGTGGCGCAAGGAGAAGCTTGTCGTTTGGAGTGACAAGTGATCACCGCTGCTTTTCCTTGTCAGAGTCAACAATATTGACACTTTGTTCTGCAGCGTTGAAAATCAAAGGGGCACGTTATATCCACTATTTACTGTACAGGTGGAATCCTGATAATTCGAATATGGCTTAATTCGAACATACCGAACATACCGAATCATTCCTCTTGCAGTAAAATCCAAAAACTGCACGCAAAAAATTTCACTTTTGCATCAACTGTCGCACCGAAAAATGTTGGTGGCGCAAGGAGAAGCTTGTCGTTTGGAGTGACAAGTGATCACCGCTGCTTTTCCTTGTCAGAGTCAACAATACACTTTGTTCTGTAGCGTTGGGAGTGGTGTTGGAGTAGAAATTGCTGACTAGACGTCGCGGACGGGCGAGCTTTCCTGCGCAGGTATGAGTTTGGACGTAGTTCAGAATGGTCGAGTGGAAAAATTCAAAATTGTTTATTTCAAGAAAACCCAAAAAGGATGATGGGGGACATGTCCTCAGTGCTAGAAGAGGTGTTCTACTATCTGCCGGTGTATAGTGCTTGCCAATTGAGGACGTAGCTCACTGTTTTATCAGCGCTTGTAATTTGGCTATTTTCAAGACGATCATTTGTGGCGCCAAGGGATGATTGCCCTCGTCTTCTGGGATGCTGGCGTGGCTAAGTGGTGCTGCCCCAAGAACTCTTCTAAGGTGAGGTCATGTTGGCTTGATGGAGTTTTGTTCGTAGCTTGTTCTTGTACGCTGTGCCGTGGCTCGTTTGTTGACCCATAAATCGTGCCAATATTGGGCCAATATTGAGGGGTATGCCAATTTCATGGTTCCCTTCAAAAGATTTTGCGGGGGCTTTGGAATGTCGATGTACACCCCAAAGCAAACCTACTTGCAAAATTTGAGCGAAATCTGAGAGATCGACTTGCACATATGTTCTGGTTTTCTCAGACATGCTCTCTTAATTGGAAGTTTTTCCAGGACCGATTTCTGTCAATACGATTCCCACATAAATATTTCTGATAATTCGAACCTCGAACCAGACTTGTCCGGTTAATTCGAAGTTCCACGGATTCCACTTACATAGAAAATGTGTGGGATTTGTGCTGATAATTCGAAGTTGGCAAAGTGTAATTCGAAGTTCACTGTACACTGTACTGGTCAGTTCAGTTTCCATGAGCAGGCTGTGCTGGTCAGTTCAGTATCCATGAAATCTGTGTCTAAGGTCCATAGCGCAACTCTGCGTGACCATGAGAGCATTTTGATATACATATTAAAATTTTTGTTGTGGGTTCATGTTTGGATATTTTGAATGTCCTGCTAATTAGAAGTTTTTTCCTGGCATTTCGAGGTTCGAATTTTCAGGATTCCACCTGTACAAGACAACTATTGTACATGTGGCTGCGCTTGTGTCTCTTCGTAGTACATGCGGTTGCACGTGTAGCTCTTTGTCGTACATGTGGCTGCTTTTGTGTCTCTTTGTTGTACATGCTGCTGAGTCGTGGTACATGCTGCTGCGCTGTTTTCGACTCCTGCGTACATGCGGCTGCACCGTCTTCTGTCCCCGTTGGTACAAACTTGCTCGTCTTGTCCCCGTTGTACGCCTTCACTATAATATATTCTGTTGTCTCGTCTTGTCTCAGTGTCAGTCGTCAGTCGTTCATGGTCAGTGTTGGTTCTTCTTTATGAGTTCCCCAGTCGCCTACTGAAATGAAGTAGAAGAAAAAGCTCTCTAACAAGTTGTACTGGTCCTTTGTGGTGTGGCGTGGCGAGGAGCGTAGAGGCAGTTCGTTCACGGTTTTCAAACCCGTGACGACATTTGGCGCCCAACTAATCTTTCCCACGACCCTGAGTTCGTCTCCATATCAGCTGTGTTTTCGTCTCCTCTTCGTGTTCTCGCCATGGCCCAGCTACTTGAGTCTCACGAACGTCCTAGCCTCTCATGAGCGCGCCTACTCAGGTGAGAATGCCTTTGTAATTGTCTGCTCTGCGTACTGTGTGGCCGTAACTAACTTGTATTCGATTTCGAATTTTTCAAATTGTTTTGCGTCGGGTGACTCGGGTCCCGGCAGGAAGTCCGTGGAACCTTGTTCTCTTGTGCTCGAGTGTGTAGTGTAGTCTAGCTGCTCGTTGTAAGTTCGCCCCGTTGTGTTCATTGTTCCTGTGTCGCTCTGACTACCCTGTACTGTACGGTTGTGTGTATGAAAATTTCAAACTTCTGTTCGTGTGCTACACGTTCGAATCTGGAACTTGTTTTTGCTTGCTCGTCATGCATTCAGCATGGGTAGCTTTGATCTCGTCTTGTGTTGTGCACTTGTGCTTGTCACGGAGTTGCCGTCGGACTGCTTCGATATTGTGACTGTGTCGCGTGATTTGTTTGGATGTCCACCTGAACGTTCTCGAGGTGCTGCCTCGTTTGTAGTCGATCCATATTGCTTTGTTTCGTGTTTCTACCGTTTCACTAGTACTAGTAGTAGTAGTTTCTCCATGTTCCGTGCAGATCGTTGTCAGGCTCAGTCATGCACTGTGCACCCAGTCGGAAAGCTGGTGGCTTCCGGTTTGGTGGGAGGTGTGAACTTCATGAAGGATTCTCGTTTCGGATCCAGGTTGAATTTTTTTGTGAGTGTATGGTTTTGTAATAATTGTGTTTCGGCATGTGGGTCTCTCTAGTTCGTTTGGGTGGGCGTCGGATCATGGTGAGCCACGGTCTGCCTGGTGGTCTGCAGGGATCCTGCGCTTTTTTGTATCGGTTTGCCTTGCGGGTGTTATGGTTTCCGTGTGTTGCTGGTTGGCCCTTGTGTGCCCCAGTCGGCAACATTACGGTACATATTTTTTGCTTCGTACCAGGGCAACGTGGTTACTTCCTGGCGGCCCATGCCTGAAAGTATGGCGGTTCCCCCTATGGGTGGGCCCGGTCTGTTTTCTTTTCACACATTTGTGCCTTGGCTTTTCCCCGTTGTCCGGAGTTACGTCTCTTACTGTTTTGGCCCTGCATGTTTTGTTTCTATTCTTCTGTGTATGTTGTTCACATTTGATTTCTTTTTCTCCTGTCTTTCTTCTAAATTTGTTTTGATTGCTTCCATCCACAGGAGTGGATGTTTTTTTGGTGGGGGATAGTGTTGTACATGTGGCTGCGCTTGTGTCTCTTTGTTGTACATGCGGTTTTTGTCGTACATGTGGCTGCTTTTGTGTCTCTTTGTTGTACATGTTGCTGAGTCGTGGTACATGCTGCTGCGCTGTTTTTGACTCCTGCGTACATGCGGCTGCACCGTCTTCTGTCCCCGTTGGTATAC